TATTCTGTATTTCAGATGTTTGTAGCATGTACAGACTTCGGATGCCTCTGGAATATCATGCTTATGGAGTGGAGATTATTAACCACAATCTTTAAAAATAACTGCTTCTTTAAACATGCATATATGAAAATTGTAGTGAGTTCAGTGATGTCTCATATCTTTTGGTAGAAAAAAATGCAAAAAATTTATGTATGACACATTTCTCTTGCACTTTTGTCTTCTTTTTTTTGGGGGGGGGGGTTCACTATGTTGGCCAGGATGGTCTTGATCTCTTAACCTCATGATCTGCCCACCTCAGCCTCCCAAAGTCCTGGGATTACAGGTGTGAGCCACTGGGCCAGGCAGACTCTTGCACTTTCATGGTGTTCACTTTCTGTTCACCAAGGTTTACTTACTGATATCCTTCTCCCACTCTGAGCCTTTACCTATCCTGAAGTACATTAAAAAAATATAACTATGTCAGAAACAGTTCCCAACTCATCCTATGAGGCTGTTATTACCCTGATACTAAACCCAGACAGACATAAAGAAAATTACAGATCATCATCCCTTATGATTATAGACACAGAGATCCTGAGGAAATACTTCCAGACCAAATCCATCAACATGTAAAGGATTATATACCATGTACAAATGGGGTTTATCCAGTAATGCAAGATTGATTTGACACACAAAAAAATTAATGTAATATGTGAATAGAAAAGGAAAGAAAACCACATGACTATTTCAATAGACACTGAAAAAAGCATTTGACAAAATTTATACCCCTTCATGATTAAAAAAAAACCCATCTAAAGTAGGAATAGAAGGGAAGCTCCTCAACCTGATAATGGTTATCTATGAATTCCCCACAGTTAATATTATACCTAATGATGTAAGACTCAATGCTTTTTTTCTACAATCAGTAATAAGACAAGGATGTCCAGTCCAGACTGGACTTTTATTCAATCTTATACTGAAGATTCTAGAGCAGGGCAATTAGGCAAGAAAGGGAAATAAGCTGGGCGGGGTGGCTCACGCCTGTAATCTCAGTACTTTGGGAGGCCAAGGCCTGAGGTCAGGAGTTTGAGACCAGCCTGGCCAACATGGTGAAACCCCTTCTCTGCTAAAAATACAAAATTTTGTTGGATGTGGTGGCGAGAGCCTGTAGTCCCACTACTTGGCAGGCTGAGGCAGGAGAATTGCTTGAACACAGGAGGCAGAGGTTGCAGGGAGCTGAGATGGTGCCATTGCACTCCAACCTGGGCAACAGAGTGAGACTCTGTCTCAAAAAAGAAAAAAGGAAATAAAAGAGCATATAGGTTAGAAAGGAAGAAGTAAAAGTGTATTTGTACATGACATGATCTTGTTTGTAGAGCTTTTATATAGAAGATCTTTAGGAAGATCTAAATAACTAAATGAACTAAATAAACAGCACAGTTGCACTGTACAAGATCAATATGTTAAAATCAATTGTGTTTCTATACACTAGCAATGAGCAATCTGAAAACAAGATAGTGACTCCATTTATAATTGCACTTAATAAAGGAATAAAACAGGAATAAATTTGACAAAAGAGAACAAAACTTGTGCTCTAAAAATTATAAAACATTGTTGAAATAAATTATATATGAACTGAAAAATAGTACATATTTATGGATTAGAAGACTTAGTATTAAGATTGCAATACTCTCCAAATCTACAGACTTAATACAATCCCTGTCAAAATCCCAGCTGACATTTTTGCAAAAGGGGCATACTTAAAATTCATATGGCAATTCAAGGAGCTCAGAATAGTCAACAATCTGAAAAGAGACAAACAAATTAGACTCACACTTCCTGATTTCAGAACTTACAAAGCTGCAGTAATTAAGATAGCATGGTACTGGCATAGGTAGATCAACAGAATAAAGAGTCTGGAAATAAGCCTTCACATTTACAATAAATTTATATTTAACAAGGATCTAAGACACTTCAATTGGGAAAGAATGGTTTTTTTGACAAATGATAGTAGAACAGCTGGTTATCCACATGCAAAAGAATCAATTTAGACCCTACTTCACACCATACACAAAACTAAATTGAAATTGGACAATAAATGTTTTCTCTCATTTTGTGGGCTGTTTTTTAACTTTCTTGGTGGTATCTTTAGAAACACACAAGTTTTTAATTTCGATAAAGTCTAATTTGATTATTTTCTTGAACCTCCTGGGTTCAAGCAATTCTCCTGCCTAAATATAAGAGCTAAAACTATACAATTATTAGAAAAATATTTTCAATCTTTATTATCTTGGGTTAGGCCAGCTTTTTGAGTATGACAAAAGGAAAATAACCAAATTAGACTTTATCAAAATTAAAAACTTTTGTGTTTCTAAAGATACCACCAAGAAAGTTAAAAAACAGTCCACAAAATGAGAGAAAACACTTTCCATTCATGTATGTGTTAAGTGTTTATCTAGAATATGTAACATAAAAACTCATACAATCCAATTTAAAAATAGACAATATATGAATAGGCATTTCTCTAAGGAATGTATGCAAATGGCCAATAATCACATAAAAAGATGCTCAATGTCATTAGTTTTTAAAGAAATGGCTGTCACAACCACAGTTAAATATTACTTCACACCCACTAGGATAGCATTAATAAAAAAAGACAGAAGTATTGGCAAGGGTGTGCTACCTCATCCATTGTTGGTGGAACTATAAAATGATCCATACCATTTAGAAAACAGTTTGGTAGTTCCACAAATTGCTAAACATAAGAGTTCCCACATGGAGAAAGGAAAAATATATATTTACACAAAAACTTACAGCTGAATGAATGTTCATCTTAGCATTATACATAACAGCCAAAAATTGGGACCAACTCAAATGCTCATCAACTGATGAATGGATAAACAACATGAGATATATTGCTACAAGGGACTGTTATTCAGCAATAAAAAGGAATGAACATGATGGACTTTGAAAACATTAAGCTAAGTGAAAGAAGCCAGTCACAAAAAATTATATATGATTAGACTTATATGTAAAGTCCAGAATAGAACAATTTGGAGATACAAAGTAGATTAGTGGTTGCCTAGGACTGAGTGGGGGAATGGGGGAATTTGGGAGTGATGGTTACAGGGTATGGGGTTCCTTTTAGAGGTGATGAAAATTTTCTAAAGCAAATATGGTGATGGTTGCACAACTAACTCTGTGTACATTGTAAAAACCAGTGAATTTTAGACTTTAAATGAGTGACTTTTATGGCATGTGAATTGTATTTCAATAAAGCTTGTTTTTTTTTTAGATGGAGTCTTGCTCTGTCACCCAGGTTTGAGTGTGGTAGTGTGATCTCAGCACACTGCAGCCTCTGCCTTCTGGACTCAAGAGATTCTCCTGCCTCAGCCCCCCGAGTAGCTGGGACTACATGCATGCACCACCCTGCCAGGCTAATTTTTGTGTGTGTGTGTTTTTTTTAGGAGTAGAGATGGGGTTTTGCCATGTTGGCCAGGCTGGTCTTGAACTCTTGACCTTGGGTTGATTCGCCTACCTCAACCTCCCCAAAGTGCTGGGATTACAGGTGCAAGCCACTGCACCTGGCCCTCAATAAAGCTCTTTTTAAAAAGGTTTGCCCAGTTTGTCAGAAAGATGTGTATCATTTCTCCTAGTTTAAGTTCCAGGCCCCCACTTTACAGATTTTTCACTGATTACTAGCAATAGCAATTTGATCATTCTTGTGCTCCTAGTACTATGCTTGTAATTTAGTTTACTGCAGCTGGGCTTACCACACATACTCATTAGCTACTATATGTATGTGAGCAGAGATTGTCTAGTATTTATTACCAATTTTAATGTCATCTTAATGCTGTAATATCCTCTGGAAACCCAAATGCTCATTGATTATCTAGTGAGTACTATTTTTAAGCAACCCATGATGATGCTTGCTCTTCCTTTTATCCAGTATGATTCAAATATATAATGGGAGTGGGCATGTGGCTTATCCCTGTAATCCCAGCACTTTGGGAAGTCAAAGCGGGAGGATTGCTTGAGCCCAGGAGTTTGAGACCAGACTGTGCAACATAGACCTTGTCTTTACAACAAATACAAAACGTAGCTGGGTATGATGGTGTATGGCTGTAGTCGCAGCTGCTCTGGAGGCTGGGTGGGAGGATTGCTTAAGTCCAGGAGGTTGAGGTTGCAATGAGCCATGATCATAGCCACTGTATTCCAGCCAGGGCAACAGAGCAAGACCCTGCCTCAAGAAAATATAGTCAAATATACAATGGTTGTAAAGTTCTGCTTTATATGTCATAGAAGATGTAATTTATATGTTTTAGAAAAGGGTATACATAAATTTTTCAAATCCTTACAAAAATAAACTGATGTGTTGAGTTTGGCTTATATATCATTTAACAACAAAAGTATTTGTTGAGCATGTACTATATATATAAGTAACTGCTGACCCCTAGTAAGATACATTAAAATATCAAAAATACACCTATTCTTAATAATCTTATGGTCTAGATGGCAGAGTGATTTCAGAGACAAATGTGAAAAGTTCAGGATTAGACGTAATTAAAAGCACAAAAGTGAATTCTGGGGCTGTTTGGAAGATTGATATGGGCCATAGTTACATGGAAAATCTTTACGGACAAATTTCATTTTCAGATAGGCTTGTTAAAAAAATTCTTGTTTTTTTAGGTACAATACTCAAAACATGAGAAAAATATATATCACCAGTGTTCAAACCTGATTTGGCTAGAACTGGAATACAGTTGCCTACGACATATAGAGAAGCTAGAAAAGTCAAAATAATGGATAACAGAAAAGAGCCTCCGTTCTTCAATGACGATAACATGGGACCATTTTACTACAGACTTCATTTCTATGATACCGTGGAGCTCTTCATTGAAACATTAACTGGAACATGTTTTCAGCTGAGAGTTTCACCCTTTGAAGCTGTTATTTCTGTGAAAGCAAAAATTCAAAGATTAGAAGGTACTCACCTTTCTTTGTGGGATTTGAAGATTAAATTTGTTCAATAATGTCTAGTAATTTTTAAATTATTTTAATAGAGACCATTTTAGACATATATGATGTTAGGACGAATAAGACAATGAACCCCTGGTACTCCCTCTCTCCAACATTCATCAGCACATGAACTATTTTGTTCCCATTGCTGTGTTCACTGATTCTTTGGAAGCAAATCCCTGGCATCATGCTATGGTGTGAAATAATATTTTAGAATAGCTTTTAGCAAGTTATGGTGATGTGAAAATTGTGCCTTAACTATTTTATAGTTACTTTTAATGGGAAATAGTAATTGTATTCCCTTCTAGGGACCTTATTTACCTTTTTACACTGCTTTGTACATCCGCCCCCCTCCTTTTTTTTTAATGTGGAGGTTTTTCTAAAAGAGTTCTTGGCTTACATTTACATATATTCAGAGTTCCCTTAGCATAACAGGGGTGCTAAATAATGTGTAGTGTCTCTTTTGTAGTTTGTATATTTGCAAAAAGTGCTTAAAAAGACTAATTTGTATTAAAATTAGTCTTTTTCTTTGCATTTTACAGATTTCTGCAATAAGTAATGTTTGCCACTTACAGTTTTTAAAAATCCAGTTTTGGGTAGAAAATTAAATTGTTCCATATAACAGTAAATGGATCTTTCTTGATGGAACCAGCTGGAACTTGCTTGTAATATAAAGGTAGTGACTAGGGTTGCCCTCCAGCTGGTGTAAGTTCAGAATTACAGAAAGATGAGGAGGGTTAGAATTTTCATTTATGTGAGGTCAAGGGTCGTGATATATGAGCTCCTGAATATTTGTAATTTATCTAGCTCTAGGAGAGCCTACTGAAGTGAGTGGCTGGCTGAGTCCAGTGACCACATCAGCACATTCAGTAATGGCTCTTGACGCTTTTGTCTGCCCTAAATGATTTGGTAAGATCTAGAGTCATAATATAAAATAATAGTTTATTTTGACTTTGTTCTGCTTTGTAATTTATAGCATAGTTTAAAGGATACCTTTTTTGGAACATGAAGATAAAATCCTCTTGTGTTCTAAATAATCTCTGTATTTTTTATCTCTTTAATGAATTTTAAATAATCTCTATGCAGCAAAAGCACTTTAGAGAGAATCCTGTTTCAATCTTTTAATGTCAGAAGAGTCAACTTGGGTTTAGAGGAGATTAAGAACTCATCCAAGGGAAATATTTAGTTACCATGAGTCAGAATCAGAGTCAAGTTATAGATTCCTTGTCCTCTGTAGGAGGAGACATTGTGGGGATAAAAGCAGTGGCTTTGTAGTTCTTAGGCAATTGAATCTAAGTTCAAAAAAACAAATATAGATATTTGGAAATTAAATAAAGTAATATGTAATATACCTACTGTCTTAGTCTCCTGGAGCTGTCATAACAAAATACCGTAGACTGGTGACTTAAACAACAGAAATTTATTTCTCACTCTCTGAAAGCTGATGTCCAATATCAGGTTACCAGCACGGGCAGATTCTGGTGGGGGCTCTCTTCCAGGCTTGTTCACTGCATTCTCACTGCATCTTCACGTGGCAGAGAGAGAGCATAATAATCTCTTTTTACAAAGACACCAATCACCACAAAGACTCCACTGTCATGACCCTATCTAAACCTGATTATCTTGCAAAGGCATCATCTCCAAATACCATGGTAGCAATAGGGCTCCAACATATGAATTTTGGAGGGGCACTGTTTAATCCATAGTACATATTGCTAGTGGTCAATAGCTCTTAATTACCTCTTCCTGTTTGCCTTCCCCATTCTCATACCCTTCACTCCTTCCTTCCTTCCTGCTCTGCACACTTGATCATAGTCTTTTTTTTTTTTTTCTTTAAAGATGGGGTTTCACCATGATGGCCAGGCTGGTTTTGAACTCCTGACCTCAGGTGATCCACCCACCTCGGCCTCCCAAAGTGCTAGGATTACAGGCGTGAGCCACCACGCCTGGCCGATCATAGTTTCTTATAGCCCATTGGCAATGACATTCTGGTCTTTGAGAGGTTTCAAGAGGGCAGCCTTCATGAAAAATACATTTTAAGCCCTTTCTGGGTGATCTTTATATTTACACCCTCAAAGACATTTAGAGTCACATGGTGTGGATTAGACTCTCCAAGTTAGAGGGATGTGGAACAGGGAGGGCAGAGGTGAGGCTGCCTGGGTTCATCATGCCGGGAAAATGGTTGTTCTGCCAGACAGCTTTTCCTTTAGGGAAAGTTTTTGGTGAGTTTGGAACTAGAGACTGGTGGGGAAAGCAGGGTGGATGGCGGGGCTAGTGGAGAAAGGGCTGAAGGAGTGTGCTGCATTAAGAACAAGGGGGCTGCACCAAGGGAGGAGTGGGCCTGCTCAGGGACTTGCAGTGGCCTTGAAAGGACTGGAGTGCTGAAGCCCTGCTGTCTGGCTTCAGATTACTGGGTGCCCAAATTACTTAACCTCTCTTTATCTTCGTTGTCACAGTCTAAAATGGGAAGAATAATAGTATTTATCTTAAAGGGTTGTTCTCAGAATTAAATGAATTAAAGGTGAAGGGCTTAGCAGAGCGATCCTCCTGCCTCAGCCTCCCAAAGAGCTGCGGTTACAGATGTGAGCCACCATGCCCAGCCCTCTTCCTTTGTTTACGTAGATGTGAGTTTCTAACCTACGTTCTGTTTTCTGTGAATAATGTCTTTTTTTTCCTTTGTGATGGAGTCTCACTCTGTAGCCCAGGCTGGTGAGTGCAGCGGTATGAACTCAGCTCACTGCAACCTCTGCCTTCCGGGTTTATGTGATACTCCTGCCTCAGCCTCCCAAGTAGCTGGGATTACAGGCACCAGCTATTATGCCCGGTTAGTTTTGTATTTTTATTAGAGATGCGGTTTCACCATGTTGGTCAGGCATGAGCCACCACGCCCAGCTGAATAATGTCTTTTAACATTTCTTGCAATGTGGGTCTGCTGGCAACAAATTCCCTCAATTTTTTTTTTTGTCTGAAAAGTATTTCTACTTCATTTCTGAAGGATAATATTGCAGAGTATAGAATTCTAAGTTGATATTTTTTTCAGCACTAAATATTTCACTCCACTCTTATTTGCATGATATCTGATTAAAACTCTGCTAAGTAATTATACTTGCATTTCTATATGTAAGATTTTTTTTCCTCTTTCTGGCTGATTTAAGGATTTTTGTCTTTGCTTTTCTACAGTTTGATATAATATGTCTAGGTGTTAATTTTTTGATAGTTATGCTGTTTGGTGTTCTCTGACCTTCTTGAATCTCTGGTTTGGTATGTTTCATTAATTTTGGAAAATCTGGGCCGTTGTTTACGTATTTCTTATATTTCATTTTTTTCTGATATTCTAATTGCAGCTTTTGAAATCGCTACAACTTTTGAAATTGTCTTACAGTTAATAGATGTTTTTTGCATTCTTCTCGCTCTCTCTTTTTTTTTTTTTTTTTTTTTTTTGAGATGGAGTCTTGCTCTGTTGCCCAGGCTGGGGTGTAGTAGCATGATCTTGGCTCACTGCAGCCTCTGCCACCTGGGTTCAAGTGATTCTCCTGCCTCAGCCTTCTGAGTAGCTTGTATTGCAGGTGCCCACGACCATGTCCGGCTAATTTTTGTGTTTTTAGTAGAGATGGGGTTTTGCCATGTTGGTCAGGCTGGTCTCAAACTCCTGATCTCAGGTGATCTACCTGCTTCAGCCTCCCAAAGTGCTGGAATTACAGGTGTGAGCCATTGCACCTGGATTCCATGTGAATTTTAATATCATGTTTCTAATTCTGTGAAGAATAACATTGGCAATTTGATAGGAATGCCATTGAATATATAAATTGCCTTGGGCAGTATGGCCATTTTAATGATACTGATTGTTCATATTAATGAGCATGGAATGTTTTTTCCATCTGTTTGTGTCATCTCTGATTTCTTTGAGCAGTGTTTTGTAATTCTGATTGTAGAATTCTTGCACCTCCCTGGCTAGCTGTATTCCTAGATATTTTCTTCTTTTTGTGGCTATTGTGAATAGAATTGCATTTTTGGCTTGGCTCTCAACTTGTACATTATCAGTGTATAGAAATACAACTGACTTCTTTATACATTGTTGTATCCTGAAATTTTGCTGAAGTTATCAGATCTAGGATCTTTTGGACAGAGACTGGGGTTTCTAGGTATAGAAGTTAATAATCTGCAAGCAGAGTTGGTTTAACTTCCTTTCTTCCCATTTGATGCCTTTTATTTTTTTCTGTTGTCTGATTGTTCTGGGTAAGACTTCCAGTACTATGCTGAATAGGAGTGGAGAGAATGGGCATCCTTTCCTGTTCCAGTTCTCAAGGGGAATGCTTCCAGCTTCTGCTGTGATGTTGGCTATGGGTTTGTCATAGATGGCACTTAATATTTTGAGTTATGTTCCTTTTAACTAGTTTGTTGAGGGTTTTTAACATGAAGGAATGTTGAATTTTATCAGAAGCCTTTTCTGCATCTATCGAGGTGATCATGTGATTTTTGTTTTTAGTTCCGTTTATATGATGAATCACATTGATTAATTTGTATATGTTGAAGCAACTTTGCATCCCAGAGATAATGCCTACTTGATCATAGTGGGTTAGCTTTTTGATGTGCTGCTGGATTTGGTTGGCTGGTATTTTGTTGAGGATTTTTGCATCTACATTCATCAAGGATATTGGCCTGAAGCTTTCTCTTTTTTGTTGTGTTTCTGCCAGATTTTGGTATCAGGGTGATGCTGGCCTCATAGAACGAGTTAGGGAGGACTTTACTGTGTGGTTGCTTTGTAGTGTCAATGGTCTATATACTTGTGTGTTTTTGTGGTGGTGTGTAATGTTCTTTTGTTTCCATATTTAGCATGCTCTGAAGTAGTACTTCTTGTAAAGCAGGTCTGGTGGTAACAAATTCCCTTAGCATTTTCTTGTCTGAAAAAGATTTTTATTTCTCCTTCACTTATGAAGCTTAGTTTGACCAGATATGAAATTCTTTGGTTGAATTTTCTTCTTTTTCAGACTGCTCAGAATAGGCCCCCAGTCTCTTCTACCTTGCAGGGTTTCTGCTGAAAGGTCTGCTGTTAGCCTGCTGGCTTCCCTTTGTTGGTAACCTGCCCCTTCCCTCTTGCTTCCTTTAATATTTTTTTTCATGTCAACCTTGGAGAATCTCATAATAATGTCTTGGGAATCATCATCTTGTATCTTGCAGGAGTTCTCTGCATCTCTTATATTTGAATGTTGGCCTCTCCCTATTGAATCTGGGGAAATTTTTGTCAGTGATATCCTCAAATATGTTTTCCAAGTTGCTTGTTTTCTTTCAGGGACACCAGTGAGTCATAAATTTTGTCTATTTACATAATACTGTATTTCTTGGAGGCCTTGTTCATTCTTTTTAATTTTGTCTTTGTCTGATTTCTGATTTAGTTTGGAGAACCAGTCTTTGAGTTCTGAGATTGTTTCTTAAGCTTGCTCTATTCTGTTGTTAATACTTGTGATTGTATTATGAAATTATTGTAGGGTTTTTTTTTTTGTTTTTTTTTTGAAAAGGAGTCTTGCTCTGTCTCCCAGGCTGGAGTGCAGTGGCATGATCTCTGCTCACTGCAACCTCCGACTTCCTGGTTCAAGCAATTCTCCTGCCTCAGCCTACCAAGTAGCTGGGATTACAGGCATGTGCCACCACACCCAGCTAATTTTTGTATCTTTAGTAGAGATGGGGTTTCACCAAGTTGGCCAAGTTGGTCTCAATCTCCTGACCTTGTGATCCACCCACCTCGGCCTCCCAAAGTTCTGGGATTACAGGCGTGAGCCATGGCACCCCGCCCTCTTGCAGTGTGTTTTAAGCTCTATCAGATCAATTTAGTTCTTTATTATAACAGCCATTTCATCTTTCAGGTCCTGTATCATTTTATTGTAATCCTTCGATTCCTTGGATTGGACTTCGACTTTCTTCTGAATCTCATTGATGTTCATTCCTATCCATATTCTGAATTCAGTGTCTGTCATTTCATCCATGTCAGCCTAGTTAAGAACCCTTTGCTGGGGAAGTAGTACAGTTGTTTGGAGGAAAGACACTCTGGCTTTTTGAATTGCTGAGTTCTTATGCTGGTTCTATCTCATCTATATGAGCTGGTGTTGCCTTAACTGTGGTGAAATTTGAGTACAGTCAGTTGACTTCTTTTCAGGGTGTTTTCAGAGCCCTGAGGCTTTGTGCAGGGTCTTTATTTGTAGTTGAATTCTTGTCGTTTGTTAACAAAGTGTTTCTGGTGTTGAAGTTTGTGCTGTGATCTAGTAGGTGGTGCTTAAGTGTAATGGCCGGTTGGTAGGCCCTTGCTCAGCCACTTGGCTTTTCTGTGTTTCCTTACAATTACAGCCATGCTCCCTCTCAGTGCTCTGGAAGTGTGGGCTCCTCTTCCACTTGAATGCTGGCTGCAGATCTCAGTATGGCACTCCCGAGCTGCACACCACAGTCTTGGGGTGAGCTTAGACTTTATGTTCCCTCCCTAGCTTGGAGGCAGCAGGGGCCAGGAACTTGGCAGTGTCTATGGCAGAGTCCCTTTTACTTGTCTTTTGGGTCTCCATCCCAGAGAAATGCCAAGCCACTATGAATCAGTGCGACTGGCCCAGAGTGGGGTGGCTGCATTGTGGTCCCAAGCTGAGGGCCCTGCCTAGTAATGAACAGGGGGTGTGGGAGGTTCATAGGAGAGACAGATTGCAGCTTAGAGCAGCTGTAGCTTGCTGGATGTATGGGTAAAGCATTCAGGGTCTTTGTTCCTTACTCAGTCTGAGGGCATCAAGGGTAGTACCATTGCAGTGGCAGTGGTGGGTGGGGTGGCTGTGCTTCTGGCCTGAGCCAGGGGCTCCACTTGGGTAAGAGGGCTCACAGGGAGAGACTGGGTTTTTCTCCATATGGTGACTGGCATGCTGGAACATGAGTAAAGCTCTTAGACTCTTTGCCCCTACCCCAGTATAAGGGCAGCAAGGGCACGAGCCACAGCAGTATCAATGGCAGAGGGGCTGTTGGTTGCCCCTGGGAGCTCCACACCAGGGAAATGCAGAGCCACTACCAATAGGAATGCTCAGCCAAGGGTGGGATGGCAGTTCTGAAGCAGGAGTGGCAGCAAACAAACCTCTCGAACACTGAACAGGGAAGGAAGTGGTGATTTATTCAGCTGGGAGCTGCAGCAGGTGAAAATACCTTAACAGCCAAGCTCCTCAACAAAGAAAATCCTTGCCCTTTTATTTTATTTTATTTTTTGTTTCATTTATTTATTTATTTTTTTGAGACGGAGTCTTGCTCTTTTGCCAGGCTGGAATGCAGTGGCACGATCTTGGCTCACTGAAACCTCCTTCTCCTGGATTCAAGTGATTCCCCTGCCTCAGCCACCTGAGTAGCTGGTACTACAGGCATGCGCCAACAAGCCCGGCTAATTTTTTGTATTTTAGTAGAGACTGGGTTTCACCATGGCCGGGATGGTCTCTATCTCCTGACCTTATGATCTGCCTGCCTTGTCCCCACAAAGTGCTGGGATTATAGGCATGAGCCACTGCGCCCTACCAATCCTTACCCTTTTAAAGGCTTAAAGGCTTACAATTCTAGAATTACATGTGAAGGGGTCTTGATCCATGAAGTATGTGTGGGGTTTGTGACTAGGTTGGGGTTTCATGGTGTTTAAGCAAAAACAATGCCTTCTGGAAAGATTCCTCCATACCATGCCTGTGATCTACAGGAGTGCGATTAAGGGTGGCAGTCTGCCAGCCTTTACTTCTCCTATTTAAATGCAATGTAGAAGTCAGGGGGAAGGGGTGTTTGAAGCTTAAGGGGATTAAGGGTCTTCTTCCCCAGTTTTGCTGTCCC